CGGCGCGTCGCGTTACGTCCTCTCTATCGAACGTCTCTGGCAATGCGGCGACGCGGTGACGTCGTTGCTGGAATCGACGCCGCCGCGCAATATTGGTATATTTATGCAGCGGCCCCGCCTGCATCCGCATGGCGCCCTTTCGCAAACATTCGGAAACGCAACTCAAACCAATTCCAACAGCAATTTCGAACCAGTGATGCCATAAAATCCGGCTGCGTGGCCTTTAATGTCACGTCATCATCGGTTTCGACTCAAAAATTTATAGCTAAAATACCCAATATGCGCAGCAATGGTGGCACGTACGTCTGTCTTCACGTGGCATTACTAAAGGCGTGACGAGTAGTGACGTCAGAGTGGTTGCGCGAGTGCTCAGATTTGTTTTAGGATGCAGAGTTGTCAGTATCTTTTGGTTTGCTATAATTTCCGAGCGCGTTTACAATATCGGACATAGCTAAAGTAACTAGATATGGCAGTGGTGGCACGCTTGCCCCTTATGTGGCTTTTCTAGGTGTGACGCGGCAGTGACGTCAGAGTGGTTGCACGAGTGCCCAAGTGTACGATTTGTTTTAGGATGCACATGCAGTTGTCAGTATTTCTCGGTTTGTTATCATTTTCGAACGCGTTTACCATAATCGACATAGACTCGACGAAATAGCTTTTTGACGAATTCCTGTTTATGCAGACATTTCACAAAGGAAACGCGCTTGCATAAAACAGTGCTGAATTTGTCGAAGAAGATGCAGAAGATCTACGCAAAACTAGCAAAACACACAGCTCCCAAAATACATGCAGTATACGAACTCGGCAAACCAACTAAAACTCACACGCACGCACGCACGCACGCACGCACGCACGCACGCACGCACCAAAGCCATCTTGGCGGACAAAAATCATCAGGCAGATGCTGTATGCATATTAGTAGACAAAACATATTTGATCAGGACGTTCATTAAAAAAACAATATGACACATTACCTTTATCTTCAAACTATAACGCATTACCAGTGAACGCAGTGTTCAAACATGGACTGCCAGTGGCACG